GGACAAAGTTAAAAGAGCCATCAGGCAGCTGGTTCCACAACCATCAAATCTCACAGAACTGGACAGTGCTATTCATCAGGCATGGTGTCAGATTCCTCGCATCACCTTTCAACATCTTGTGGAGTCAATGCCAAGAAGAATCGCCGCGGTATTGAAGGCAAAAGGTGGCCCAACGAAGTACTGATGGAGTGGTCATAATAATCTGGCCGCTCAGTGTATATGTCGGCCAATAGTGTATCTTCTTTTGAGAAATGTCTATTAGTTCCTTTGCTCATTTTTAATGGGTTATTTGTTTTTTTGTAATTATGTTGTAAAAGTTCCCTGTATATTTTTAATATTAACCCTTTATTATAAAACATATGGTTTGCAAATACTTTCTTCCATTTCGGGTATTGCCTTTTCATTTTGTTGATTGTTTCCTCTGCTGTGCTGAAGCGTTTTCGTTTCACATAGTCCTGCTTGTCTATTTTTGCTTCCATTCCAGGTGTTGCCTGTGCTTTTGGTGTCATATCCTTTACTTTTAAGGCTGAATATTCTCTGTATATACCACATTTTCTTTATCCATTCATCTATCAGTAGACATTTGGGTTGCTTCCACATTTTAGATATTGTGAGTAATGCTGCTATTAACATGAGTGTGAAAAAAATCTCCTTATTACACTGCTTTCAGTTCTTTTGAATATATAACCAGATTGAGATTTCTGAATCATATGGTAGTTCTATTTTTAATATTTTGAGGAATTTCTTCATGTAAACTTTTTACAAATTCCATTGCTGTTGCTCCTTCTAAGCTGTATCTGAAAATCTTTATTTGGTTAATATGATGGACCTTCATGATTAATGTGTGAGTGTGTGTATTTACTTATTTATTTATTTATTTATTTATTTATTTATTTATTTAATCAATCTAGAGCCCTTGCAGAATCTCCACCATCTGTAAAAAAGAGTGAAGTTGGTGATAAAGGAAAGAATAAAGATGAAGGGGAAGTTTGTAACCATGAGAAAAAGGCTGATGATACTTGTCCTGAGCTTCATCCAGAAGAGAAAAAGAAGAAGCGTTCTGGATTCAGAGATAGAAAAGTATGGAACACAGTTATATAAATTAATCAGAACTATAGTTAATCCAAGATTATAATAATGCAGTTCAGTTTCTTTTATGATGTATTGCATATGGTTCATATTCACTCTGAAGTTATTCACCTCTTCACTATTTTCCATCATGTTCTAAGGTAAACATACTCTTAGAATGTAAAGTTAATGGAGTTAGGAAAAGGACCTAAAATTACTAATCAGGATTAGCATATATTTTCCTCATTCTTTTAATTTAGCTACCTAACATTGATCTTGCTTTCTGATCTTTCTGATGTTGAACATTCTCATATTTGTTAATTGAGTCCTTGTGGTAATAAAGATTTATGATGTCAAGTTGTAAAGGTAGAATAAAATATCTTGGGAAATAAACAGATATTTCCAGAAAATCAAATAAATTTGAGGACAGCATGAACTTCAAAGGACTTCAACATTCTATATGTTTAACACGACCTGTTGTTCTATGCTTTTTCTCAAAAAAGTTTCAGTTTCACTATAACAATGCCTATGATATTAGGCATTTGAATTCAGCAGACATGAGTGATGAAAAGTCAGAAGGGTGAATTTATTAGATATTTTGCATGTTAACATTAAAATTCAGGAAATTGCCTTCACTTGCTAAAATATACCTAATCAATGCAAGAAGATAATTTGACTTATTTCTGTATTGTGTGTGTGTGTGTGTGTGTGTGTGTGTGTGTGTGTGGTACATATTTGCAAGAAGAATTTCTTTGAGAAATTTGGATTTTCTGTTTGTCTGTTTGGATGAAGTTATTAAGTCTTTTCATTTCCTAAATTCATTTCTTACTGAGGTGAATTTGAACAAAAGCTATGTATCACAAGTTAATTGTCAACTATCCCAGTGTTTCCACGATACATTTATTTAAATCTTTTGCCCTGAGTGAATTCAAGGAAATTTCAAATTTTTCTTACTCCAGTAGTTTCATTTAGAGTTAAACTTTTACAAAGTAGAGCTAAAATGACCCATATAAACATTTATTTTGAACCTTCCACTTTCTACTCCCGCTGTCTGTTCAACAGATGACCATATCTCATAAGTTAGAAAAAAATGAAAGCTGTCAATGTAATTAATTTTTAACTCCATAGCTATAAAAACCTTTCTTGTCTCTGTTTGAAATAATTCTTTTTTTTTAAAGATTTTTACAGAGAAGAAGGGAGAGGGATAGAGAGTTAGAAACATCCATGAGAGAGATCGATCAGCTGCCTCCTGCACGCCCCCCAGTGGGGATGTGCCCGCAACCAAGGTACATGCCCTTGACCGGAATCGAACCTGGGACCCTTCAGTCCGCAGGCCGACGCGCTATCTATTGAGCCAAACCGGTTCGGCTTGAAATAATTCTTTTTTTTCTTTCACTAAAGTCTCAGTGGAAGAGCTGTTTTTTCTGTTTGAGCATAATCATTCCACATGTTATCCTGTCTTACCAAGAACTTTTCTCAACACTTATTCTTTCTTTATGCTGTTGTTTGTCAGTTACTGTTTGTTTTTGTGTTTGTTTTTACATAGTCTACCTATGTAGTCACATTAAAGATTCTTCTATCTTTAATTAAATAATAAACTGCACTTATGATCAGTTTTTTTCTAGCTACGTCCCATTTACATTCTTTTCCTGTAATACCAAATTGCTCCAGTATCTACATGCAATTTTGACATTCTCAGTTTTCTTTTAAACTTTTTACTTTTGTTCCTTTATGTTTTCTTGATTTTCATGTAATACGTCAAATATCCAAGAAAATAAAGACTACTAAAATGAACATACATGTACCCAATACTTGTTTTGTCATTTTAACATTCTCCTATATTTGCTTCAGTTGTTGTTTTTAATACTCACCTAAGGAAGTGTTTTTATTGATTTTTGAGAGAGAGGAAGAGGGAGAGAAAAAAACATTGATGATAGAGAAACATCGATTGGTGGCCTCCTGCACGCACCCACTGGGACTCAAACCCACAATATAGGTATGTGCCCTGACTGGGAATCGAACCCACAACATTTTGGTGTACAAGATGATGCTCCAACCAACTGAAACACCTAGCCAGGGATTCAGTTTTGTTTTTTTGTTTTTTGTTCTTTAAAGAAACGAAATGAATATAAAATACACATGGCTATATACTCTTGTCAGTCCCATTTTTCTCTCTTCCACGTCAGAGCCAAACCAGTGTCCTGAATTTACTATTTATTCCCATGCATGGCCTGGTTGTTTTATGTGTTTTATATTTTAAAAATTCCAGGTGCAAAGAGTTACGAAAATCTTTGTGGATGCAGTTTTTGTTGCTTTGTACATGCTTCTCTCATTTTGTTTTGTTATTTTTAAAATTGTTTGTCCCTTCTGAAACCTCAAGTCCTCAATTCTGAACAATTCTCAGACATCACCTCAATATTGCTTCACTGTCATTTCTTTCTTTTGGAACTCCACTTGGATTTAAAAGAACCTATCCTTTGTATCTTTTAATTGCTCTTTTATATTTTTTCTCATTAGTTGTTTTCCCACTCCTCCAGGGTCTCTCTTTTCTTTCAATTTTTTTTATTGTGATAAAATACATATAACATGGTATTTACCATCTTAACTGTTCTTAAGTGTACAGTTCAGTGGTATTCAGTACATATTGAAAAGAGTATATAGCAATGTACAACCATTACCAGCATTCATCTCTATAACTGTTTTCATATTATAAAACTGAAAATATAGCCAGAACTGGTTTGGCTCAGTGGATAGAGCATCGGCCTGCGGACTCAAGGGTCCCGGGTTCGATTCCGGTCAAGGGCATATACCTTGGTTGCGAGCACATCCCCAGTAGGGGGCGTGCAGGAGGCAGCTGATCAATGTTTCTCTCTCATCAGTGTTTCTGGCTCTCTATCCCTCTCCCTTCCTCTCTATGAAAAATCAATAAAATATATTTTTAAAAAAAACTGAAAATATAAACCTGTTAAATAATAACTCCTTACTGCCCCTTTCCCCTAGCCCTGGCAACCACCATTTTACTTCCTGTCACTATGATTTTGAATACTAAAAGAATGTCATACAAATGGAAGCATACAGTATTTTCATTTTTTTGTGACTGGCTTATTGTGCTTAGTATAATGTTTTCAAGGTTGTTCATGTTGTAGCATATATCTGAATTTTCTTCCTTTTTTAGGGCTGAATAATATTCTGTTGTATATGTATACTACCTATTGCTCATCCAGTTATCCAGGTAGCTTCCACATTTTAGCTCTTGTCAATAATGCTGCTATGAACATGAGTACATAGATATCTCTTTGATATTCCACTTCCCATTCTTTTGTATATGTACCCAAAAATAAAATTGCTGGGTCATATGGTAATTCTATTTTTGTTTTGTTTTGTTTTGTTTTGTTGTTGTTAATCTTCACCTGAGGATACTTTTTCCATTGATTTTTAGAGGGAGAGTGGATGCTGTATTCTGAACCCTTTATTGTTAGTGCTCCTTTTAATATGACCACTTAAAAAGAGGCAGTTCCATATAAACTGATATGGAATGATCTCCAAGATACATCGCTAAGTGGAAAAACAAAATACATACTATACAGTTTGTCTGTATGAAACTCTACCAATACAGGAATGCAAAAAGTGTATTACTTTCCTTGACCTATTATTTCAAACTAAAACTTATTAATAATATTAAGCAGCATAATTTAGTGATATTGTAACAACCAAGGAGTCTGATTTTCAGTCTGAAAATCATTAACTTTTAAGTTATCTTTCTACCTTTGTATATGATTGACTCAACTATTTTTGGTTCACAAAGCCATCTTTAGCAGTAGCTACAACTTATATCTTAAATGTTACAAACTGATTATTTTTTGTTGTTACTCAGAAGAACAAACATGTAGAGGGCCTAAAGACAGTAGTTTATTCTGTAGCCAGTATTAGCCAGCAGACAGTTGTAGTATAATATAAAATGCCTTTGATTTAAGACTTTTGGCTAAGTCTTAAAGTCACTAAGGGGTCGAAAAGCTCCTTAGTGTGTTTGCCACATGCCAAATCTTTTTATAAAATCTCTGAAGTCAGTATTCAGATTTTTATGAAAATTAGCATTAGGAAGACTCTTGTCATGTATAGTTACAAATTAGCAGTCCTTTCTTAGTTGCTGAAAGCACATCTGGCAGTGGAATTAAGACCATTGTTAAACAGCTGCTGTCAGTGAACTCAAAGTGGCCATCTAGCCAGGACTGACAGTTATAGTAATGGCTGTGTTAATATGGCAAATTAAAAACATTAACAGTGTTTTTCTTAATGTTATATATTGCTTTTTAGACATTGAACTGATGGGATTTTAGATTGTATTGCCTTGACACTTTTTCTAACCAGTTATTTATAAGATACTATTTATTGTTGACTATCTCAACATATAAAATTCAGGTCTGAGAGAAATCTCTTCACCAAAGTACTATGTATTTGATACTTTGATGAAAGAGATTTCTCTCATACCAGAATTTGTAAAAAGAATGCTATGCAGAAGTTATAGTATTTTGTTTGTCCCATGCATAGAATGGGGGCTAGGATCCCAGATAAGGAAATGAGTTTTCATATTAACATTCTGATCTTTTAGCTAAATGTATACCTTATGTGATTTTGTTCCTATTCAAATATTTGCTTGTGCTCTTCCCAAGTCTGCTCCTTTCTAAATATGCTATAATAGAGGATCTCTAGCAGTTTGCTTAATTTTATAGAAAAAGTAGAAGTCTTATTGTTTGAGACCTGTTAATAACTGAGTTTCCATGGTATGTAACTTTATTTTTTGATGCTATCATTTTATGTACTTTGTATTTGAAAGACTATTAGTTGTTCAAAACTATGAAGTCCCAAGTCTGTTTTGTCTTAGGATTCAGGAAATTTCATAGAAGTAAAAACTGTAAAATCTATTCCTTTTTAAAGACTTGGTAATTAAGAACCTGTAGACTACCATATATATGGCATTATCCCCCTGTTACTGAGATGTTTTGAATTCTTGTATGACATTTTTCAATTTTGCTAGTTTTCAATGATTTAAAAAATAAGAAAATTCTTCAAAAATTTCTAAACAGAAGTTACACAAGTATTGCCTCAAATAAGGTATGAAAGGTATATTGGAAGAAAAGTGGTTCAAGATTTTGAAATTCAAGTTTATTTCTAATATTTTAAAAATCTAGTAATAGAAAAAGTTATATAATTTAAAATTCCCTAAAAATAAGATACAAAATGTATGAAAATGAAAATTGCTTAATAATAATACCCCGGATTTCTAATTTTAGGTAATGGAATACGAGAATAGGATTAGAGCATATTCCACACCAGACAAAATCTTCCGATATTTTGCCACCTTGAAAGTAATCAGTGAGCATGGTGAATCTGAAGTGTTTATGACTCCACAAGATTTTGTGCGATCCATAACACCCAATGAAAAACAACCAGAACGTAAGTTGTTAATGTGAAAAATGAGGTTGTTATATTTCTTTTTGTTATATGCTACTTTGTTTCTTTCTGTGTATTGCCTAAACTTTATAGGTCCATGCAATAATTATATTCACTGTGTAGCTACTGTATGTCAGGCATCATGCTAGGCTTTGGGAGTACAGAAGAGGAGCCTATAGTCTAATGTGGCAATCCTCAGCCAGATTAAAGGATTGAGGAAAGTGTACTACTACTCTGGCTGAGGTTCATTGCCTGTAATGAGAACGTTCCTGAAGGCAATGCATTACAATGTGACTGCTATCAAGTTGCTCGTTAGTGAGGGAGACAGAAACAGTTATGAGAAACTTCAAGAATGTAGTGATTTGTTAAAGAACGATGGTGCTGTGGCAGTATAAACAAGGGGCACTTAGTTAAATCTGAAAGGTGGGAGAATGATTTCTAGAGAATGCATCTGAGTTTGGATAAAAGTCTATATAGGCATTGTACTTACTTCACAGAGACATTAAATCAAGTATCTTAAATATGCTCAAAGAGTAGTGGAAAGGATGTCTCATATAGAGGAAACAGCCTAAACAAACAAGGTGTGATGAAAGAAAATAAATGGCTTAACATTTTAAGTTAAATGTAACAATTTACAAATATATATGGGAAACATGGTGGGGAAAATGACAGAGTTGAGAGCTCTGTGAATTCCACTGATGCAACCATTAAGCTGCCAAAAATGGACAGAAGTAACTATAGTGGACCTCTGGAATCTAATAAAAAACTTACAGCAACCAGGGAGTGCTTAATGAAGAAACGCTGCTAAATTTTGGTAGAAAAGTGTTGTGGCCTTTTGCTCCCTGAGGGACTAGCGCAAAGGCTTGCCCTTTCTTTCACTAACCTCAAGCTGGAGTGGTTTCCCACTTGCCATCCACTGAAAAAGTTTAAGACATAGCATGCAGCCAGAACCGGTTTGGCTCAGTGGATGGAGCGTCGGCCTGCGGACTGAAGGGTCCCGGGTTCGATTCCGGTCGGGGGCATGTGCCTGGGTTGCGGGCACATCCCCAGTGTGGGGTGTGCAGGAGGCAGCTGATCGATGTCTCTCTCTCATCGATGTTTCTGGCTCTCTATCTCTCTCCCTTCCTCTCTGTGAAAATCAATAAAATATATTAAAAAAAAAAAAAAAACATAGCATGCATATAAGCATAACCAGTGGACATAAGACACTGGGGGGTAGGGGAGGCCAGGGGATTGTCAAGGGCGGGGGGAAAAAAAGGACACATATGTAATACCCTTTGTAATACTTTAAGCAATAAAAAAATTAAAAAGACATATACTACTTGCAGTTCCCAGGCTAAGAGAAGGCAGATGGGACAAGCAGCAGACAGACTGAACAGCCTAGAAAAGAGGACACTGAGGAGGAAGACATTGCAGGGGAGAAGAGCTTTGAAGGGCTACTGCATAGGGGAATCCAGAGTGCAACATGCGTTCTCAGGGCCAGACACATGCTTGGAAAGACCTGAGTGGGCTTTTTCCTCTTGTTGATTTTTGGGCTCCCTGTAAGGAGGTGAAAATTAAGGTAGAGTTATTAAATTTCTAGCTAAATGTCAAAGGAGAGCCCCACCTCAGAGCCAGTCTGCATATAGTGGAAGAGTTAGGGGGCTTTTTGTTTTGTTTTTTAATTCTTTTTGCCTCCAACATTTAAGGAATTCTCTATCAGGTCACTTACTGACTGCTTAGATAGAAAAGAAACTTCAATGGTGACACATGATAAGGAATGCAGTTTTTGCAAAAATAATTTGCAAAGTGATGGCGTGAGTTACAACACCAAATCCTGGGATTCAGGAAGAATTTTATTTCTTGAATTACCACATTATAATATTAAAAATATCCAATTTTAAATTTTAAAAAATTATATGACAGTCCAGTGATCAGGAATATATGACCCATTACCAGAAAAAAATTTTTTAAAGGAAACATCCCATGAGAAAGCCTAGGTAGGCATTCCACTTACTTTACAAAGACTTTAAATCAGTTATCTTAAATATGCTCAAAGAGCAAGAGAAAACCATAGACAAAGAACTGTAGGAAACAGGGAGATAGTGTATTGATAAAAAGAGACTACCCATAAAGAAATAGAAAATTTTAAAAGGAACTAAATAGAAATTCTTTAGCTAAAAAGTACAGTAGCTGAAATTTAAAAAATCTCTAGAAGAGTTCAACATCAAATATGAGCAGGCAGATAAAAAAATCAGTGAACTTGAAGATACATCAATTCATATTGTCATGTCTGAGGAACAGAAAATAAAAAGTATGAATAAAAATGAACAGAGCCTTGTGGAACACCATCAAGTGTAATAACATATACACACCTTCAAGTGTGACAACATATGCATAATGTTGTTAAGACATTTCCAGATGATCAAAAGCTGAGGAAGTTTGTTATTAATAGACCTTCCCTTCAGGAAATACCAAATGGAATCCTTTAGTCTGAAATGAAAGGATACTAGACAGTAACTCAAAGCCATACAGAGAAATTAAAGGTGTGGTTCCAGTTAAGATAGCAGATTAGGTAAACACTGTGCTCACCTCATCCCACAACCACATCAGAATTATAGCTAAAATATAGAACAAGCATCACTGAGAACCACCTGAAGTCTAGCTGAACAGAATTCCTATAACTAAGGATATACAGAAGAAGCCGTTTCGAAACTGGTAGGAGGGATGGAGATGCAGACCAGGCTGGTGCCACACCCATGTGTGGCTGTTAAAAATTGGGAGAGATATCTTGGCTGCAGAGTTCCACCCTGAGGAGCGAGGGGTCCCAGCCCCACACCATGAAAAGATAAAATGAAGCATGTTCTTTGTTACTGTGTAATCTTTTTGAACATCTGTGAGGTTTCAGGTTAGATTTGTTTTTAAATGTTTCCTGACTTATCTTTTGCAGTCAATGGTTCATTTTGTTATGGTGGGTGTCTAGAAACTGAAGCACATCTACACTAATAAAAGAGAAACATGGTAATTGGCGTACGACCGCTACCCTTCCCATTGGCTAATCAGCATATCCTTATGCAAATTAACTGTCAGCCAAGATGGCAGCCGGCAGCCATGCACTGAAGCGAACAGGGAGGCTGGCTTGCTCCAGTGACTGCGGACTCCAACGTTCCCCGCCTGAGTTGCCGGCCTCTCAGCTGCAACTCTAAGCAACTATGTACTATGTTGCAAATAAGAAGCTAAATCCCCATAAACCAGCTGTCAGTCAGCCAGGTTCAGCCAGCCGGACTGCAACATTGTATCAAATACAGAAGGAAAAACAAAGGCCAGAAAC